TACTTTTCCTTTCCTCAGTCTTTGCTTCAAGTTCTTAACAACGAATTCCATCTTAAAACTAACTTTAGAATAATTTTTTTGGAGAGGTTTTTGCTATAGGGCAAGTGCGCTCGCCAGAAAGAAAATAAGAAATCAAGCCCCCCCTCCCCCCAGGGGATGGCCATGCTGCAATCCCTTCTCCTCTGTTCTCCAGGGATCTTGGGCATGCACGCACATGTGCCTGGCGTGAGTTTAAGCCACTGGGTCAGGGACTCGGTCCACGACTTGAACCATGATCGACTATGTGGGAGTCCAAGTGACATAGCCATTACGCCAACTGCTGGTCCCCTAACTTTAGAATTCTAAAACACACATATAAGGGCCAAAGAATGGCCAATCAATAAAGCAGAGTAAAAGCAAAGTGAAATCAAAGAATCATTCAAACTATATTAAAAAACTTACAAATTATAGATATTAAGAAAAGGGAAGACAAGATTTGAGAACAGAAAAAGATAACCTATCACAGAAACCTTTTAACTTGCCCCAAAGCAATACTAAAAAGTATGGGTGGAACATTTTGGTACACTAGCATTTGAAACCAGAATGATTATACTTCTGAAATGATTCTTTGGCATAAATCTGCATCAAGGTTACAAGTGACAGTTCACTTGTAAATCACTGTTTTAAGTTACTAGAAAGCTGCTTGGCAAGGCAACAAGCATACCCTGCTTGAATCTAGTCTGACCTCCATCCTGTGAGGAAGGCAAGCCCAAGTAACAATTTGGGGACCTTTCTTTGAAGTATTCTTTCCTATGAAAATGCCAGTTACCTTTCCACTGCCCTTGTCTGATCTGCACTTGTCTCTCCTGCTGCTTGTATAAGTCTTTGGTCAAGGGAACAGTAGTTGGTCCCAGGGCTGAGGGTCTTGCTACTTAGCATGTATCAGCTAGAAAGGAGGGTTAAAAGGCTGCCTTTCTCATTTATGGTTCCCTGAACAATTCTATAAATGACAGTATTCAAATTCAAGTCCAAAGTTATTATTTTTTTTTTGGAGAGGTTTTTGCTATAGGGCGCGTGCGCTCGCCAGACAAACAGAGACATAGAGACAGAAAGCGAGAAATCACCCTCCAGGGGGGATGGTCATGCCGCAATCCCTTCTCCTCCATTCTCCTCTTGGGATCTTGGGCACGCACACACACGCGCCCAGCGTGAGTTTTAAGCCACCGGGTCCGGGATGCGAACCGCGGTTGACTACGTGGGAGTCCAATGACATAGCCATTACGCTAACTGCTGGTTCCCCCGAAGTTATTTTTTTAATGTCTACTCTGAAGAATCTCTAACTAAACTGTCTTTTCATAATCAAAATAACATTGTCTTTTCTCATTACTCCTACTGTCCGTTGGTTTCCTCTCTGCCTTGCTCTAGGGGTAGCCCTTCTGATTAAGGG